GTTGGGTTCCAGAGGCACTAGAGCCCACCCCATCCAGCAGGTAGTGCAGAGGCCTCAATGGCTACCTATCTCACTGAGGATGTGGAGCCACTGCACTGCAACCCCATGCCCTATTGGGCAACCCACAACCAGGTGTGTCAGGATCTGGCCACAGTTGCCCGGGAACACCTGTCCTGTCCACCGACCAGTGTTCCAAGCAAGAGGGTGTTCATAGATTCATAGATTGTAGAGTCAGAAGGGACCACAATGGATCATCGTGTCCAACCCCCTGCCCTGGCAGGAAAGAGGACCGAGGTCAGATAACCCCAGCCAGGTGACTGTCAAGCCTCCTGTTGAAGACCTCCAAGTTACATGATAGCACCACCTCTCTTGGAAGCCCATTCCAGATTCTGGCCATCCTTACTGTAAAAAATTTCTTCCTAATGTCTTATCTAAATCTATTGTCCTCTACTTTGCACCCATCATTCCTAGCTACTCTCTGGGGTGCTCTGGTAAATAGTGCATCACCATTTCCCTGTTGTCTTCCCTTGATAAACTTTAGGCAACTACAAGATCTCCCCTCAGCCATCTCTTGTGAAGGCTGAAGAGATCCAGATCTCTCAACCTTCCCTCGTAGGGTCTTTCACGGAGGCCACTAATCATGAGAGCGGCCCTCCTCTGAACCCTTTCCAGATTCTCCGTGTCCCTCTTGAATTGCGGTGCCCAAAACTGGACACAGCACTCCAACTGCGACCTGACCAATGCCGCATAGAGGGGGAGCATCACCGCCCTTGATCTGTTGGTCATGCATCTGCTAATACACGACAAGGTGCGATTGGCTTTGTTGATGGCCTCATTACACTGCTGGCTCATGTTCATCTTGGAGTCAACTATGACTCTAAGATCTCTCTCAGCCTCTGAGCTGCTGAGGAGGTCATCCCCCAACCTATAGGTGTGCTGGGGATTCCTCCTTCCTAGGTGGAATACCTTACATTTATCTTTGTTGAACTGCATCCTATTTCATTCTGCCCATTGTTGCAACCTGTCCAGATCGGCCTGTATCTGCTCCCTGCCTTCCGGTGTGTTAACTTTGCTTCATAACTTGGTATCATCTGCGAACTTGGAGAGGGTGCTCTCCACACCCTCATCCAAATCACTGATGAAGATATTAAATAACACCAGTCCAAGGACCAAACCCTGTGGGACCCCACTGCCCACCTCCTTCCAGGCCGAGAACGACCCATCCACCACCACTCTCAACTGACTTAAGCGGTCCCTAAGCCAGTTTGCCACCCACTTGACTGTGTAGTCATCCACTCCACAGCCTGTTAGCTTCCCTGTGAGAATAGGATGCGAAACTGTCAAAGGCCTTCCTCAAATCCAGATAGATGACATCAGCCTCAGCTCCTGTGTCAAGGCAGTGTGTGACCTGATCATAAAAGGCTGTAAGGTTTGTCCTGCAGGGGCACTATGTTACTCTGTGCTTTCATTTTGCTCGCTATGTATCTGTAGAAGGACTTTTTATTGTCCTTAATTGTTGAAGCCAGCCTAAGCTCCAGTCCTGCCTTGGCCTGCCTAACTGACTCCTTGCAATAGCGTGCCAGGGAGGTGTATGCCTCCTTGGTGGCTGCCCCCTGCTTCCACTGCCTATAAATCTCTTCCTTTGCCCCCAGTCTTTCCTAGAGCTCCCTGTTCAGCCAAGGGGGATTTTTCATCCCCTTAACCCCTTTCCTGCGTAAGGGGATAGACTCCTTTTGTGTCCCAAGGATCACTCCTTTGAGAAACCTCCAACCCTCCTAGACCCCCACTTGCTCGATGCTCTTGAGTTCCACCACCTCACTAACTAGGCTTCTAAATTTACTAAAGTTGGCCCTTCCAAAGCCTAACACTTTAGCCTCACTGGATATTTTTCTCACCCTTCACTGGATAGTGAACTCTACCAAGTGATGGTCAGTATCTCCCAGGTTACTGTGTACTCGCAGGTTCCCCATGAGATCATCCCCTGATGCTAAGACCAGGTCTAGCAAGGCGCTACCCCTGGTGGGACTGGACACCACCTGGGTTAGGTGGAGGTCCTGCACACAGTGTAAGAACCTCCATGAGCAGCTTGTGTTGGCCGCCTGTTCCTCCCAGCAGATGTCCGGATAATTTACATCCCCCATGACCACTGCCTCCCTCGCCTGTGTGGCATCTGAGAGCTGTCTGGAGAATACATCATCTAGCTTGTCATCCTGGTGAGGAGGTCTGTAGTAGACTCCCACTACCAAGTCCTTTTCCCCTGGCCCTCCCTGGATCCTGACCCACAATGCCTTGGTATGCCCCTCCTCTACTCCTGCCTGGATGATGGAAGATGTGTACTGCTCCTTAACATAGAGAGCTACACCCCGGCCTTGTTTTCCCACTCTGTCATGTCTATACAACCTGTACCCCTCCATGCCTACCGCCCAGTCACACGTAGAATCCCACCATGTTTCAGTTAAGCCGAGTGGGTCATATTGTGGAGGGAGGAGGCCCCAGGTCCTGGGCATGACCTAAAACTGCACCCTGCCAGGGTAGGGAGGCCTGGTGGGACTGCCAGTGGTGTGGCAGCTCCCGGGAAAGCCAGGACCACAAACCTCCCCGGGGTGAAAGGTGGGTAGAGGGCACCTGATAACCTCCAGCCACCACACACACACATAGTCCTGGCTGGGGAAAGCCCAAGCCTGTAAGACCTTTGAGAGGCCTGAGGCTTACTGGTTACAGTGGAGTTGTGAGGGTGAGAACAGGCAGGCGGCTCAGATCTAACCTAAGGTACCCTCAACTGGTCTGTGCTGGGCCCATGACCCAAAGGTGGTGGTGGGGGGGTGTCAAAGGGCCAGGAGCCCACCACGAGGAATGCCCACAGCAAGAGACTTACAGTTCTGACTGGCCTGAACGTGGGGCCAGGGCCTATGGGGGAGCTACAGGTTCCAGAGAGGGGACCACAGCTGGCAGGATGAAGGATGCAATCTGCGAGGCATAGACTGCAGCGTATGGAAGGTATGGAGCTGTGGAATGGATGTCACCGCTAGACATCAGGGGCCTAAATGGGCAGTCTCCCACCTGGATAACATCTCAATCAGTTTTCCATCAAGGCATGGCAGGAAAAAGAGGAGTGGGCATTTGGCCCAGAAACAGGTGGGCAGGCTGAGATCTAACCAGCACCGGAAAGGCCACCTGTTATAGGATACCATCCCTGCTGCATTCATCCCACTCTACCTTAACACACACAAGGCAGACAAGGTTCTTTGGGTCAATCTGATACCTTTTATTAGACCAACTACATAGTTGGAAAACTGTATCTTAGCAAGCTTTCGGGTTTAAAAACCCTTTGTCAAGCTGAGGAAGTATTTGCAGTTGGTGGGTGCTCCTCCTGGATGAAATGAATAGTAAAGAAGCCAGAGGTTGGTATGCATGCAAGAAAGCCAGTCAGTGAAAATGTAAATAGAGGCATCAGGGGGTGAGAGACAAGCTGGGAGAGGAGAGGGATGTAGCAGGTAAAAGTGGAGAGGTACCTGGGGAGTCAGATGTATGTATGTTAAAGGTGGGTGGGCAGTTGAGGTTGTGCGCCCTTTGTAGGTCATGCAAGATGAATGATATAGATGGAGAGGTGCATGTGTGCCAGAGGTGGCTCTGAGTTCTGCATGAGTTAAATTTGCATGAAATTTGGCAGACCAACAAATTGTACACCCACTCTTTTTCCTTGTTTGACTGTTAAGGGGGGAAGGACAGGGTCTGTTACATATTATGTTCCTGGGCCCAGGAAACATTCCAAGTGCTGAAATTAAGGGAAAAACAAGGTAGTTTTATATAAAATATTTATTCTTCAAATCATCTTTCCACACTACATTGTCAACAAGCCCAGATAATTGATAAGAATCACAGCACAAACACTCTGTCTGGTACAAAATCCATTTAACAGCCACAGGCATGTGACAGTCACAGCGAGTCAGCTCAGGCAACCTGCCTACAAAGGCCCCATAAATAAGAGTAGTAGCAATAGAAAAATATCATTTGCACTGGCTGCATTTCTTAAATAGTTTTAAACAGCGTCTAAATTCCACGGTTTCTCTTTTTTTTTCAAGTGGGTGGATAGCAGTAATTTTGATTGGGGTGTCATGAAGCAAGGCCCTGCATTGTGCCTGTCACAAGGTACTCAGTGAAATCTGTCATTAGACTATTCTCTTTGTGTGTGCCATTCAGGTTCCAGTCCATGCTGGGGCTCTCAGGTGCTCCCAAAGGGCAAGTAATTGATAGGAATAATAATGCTTTCAGGTTTTTTTCAGTCCCTGCACTACTCAGTTCTGTTCCAGGCTGTTCACGTACTTTTGAACCCATGAGTCTTCAGGGTTAGAACAAATTTCACGGCCTTTTTTGGTGATAAACCTGCAGAGAATGAAAGAGACAGGTTGGAATGAGAGACACTCTGCCCTCATGCTTCTCTGCCTCAGGCTTCTACCAGATTGAAGCCCTGGATGATCCAGTTCATTCAGTCAAAGGCCTAAAAAGGAGCTTCTGGTGGCAGTGGTAGCAGGGGCTGCAGAAGCTACCATTCTGGCATCTCCTCAAAATCAGCATAAGGGGTTGGTGCCCATGTCATCCCCCCCCAGTTATGCTACTAGGTTCAATCCTGTTCCTGTCTCTGTCACAGTCCCATGCTCCTTATGTGCTGCCTGGCCTGGGCTTTTCAGATATCAGCTTGTTCCATGTATTAATGTCCTCCTCAAATTCCTCCCCCACAGCATCAATTCCTCCCTCCTCCACACTCCATGACACCCTGGGGCAAGCAAGTCCCACCCCAGATTTTTTCAGTAAGAATCCTTAGAGTCTTGGGAAATGCTGTGTAAGCCCCTCATGGTAGCCCCATTTCAAGGCTGCATGTGCTTGGCTCTCAGGGTCTCTCTTTAGGACCCAAAGCCTCCAACTCCTGAATGGCCTGCAGATTAGCAACCAAAAACAGCAGCCCTTTCATGGTGCCAGATACCAAAGGAGCAAGCCCTTTCATTGCAGTCCATTCATATATTCCAGTGCATGCACTGGAAGGAAAGGTGACCCTGAACCTTTGTTATTTGTCAGGAGTCTGAAGTTTGTACTTACACAACAGCTTGCCAGGAGCACTTCTTGTTGGTCCTGTAATACTTCACCACTAAGTTACGTGGCGGCTTGCGGCTTGTGTAGGAGAAGCAGCAGGAGGTTGGAATGTCAGAACCCACTAGAATAAATGGAAAAAGACAACATGATCCCATGCTGAACTATACCCCAAGGAGAAGTAGCACTGGGATGCACCTGCTTGGGAAGCTTGGCTGGAGTGGGAAGCAGCTTCTGTTCTTGGCCACAAGACTTCAAGGAAGAGTTTCCCCATGTGATAATTCCTCCCTCTTCTATATCCTTTATTTAGAAAGCAAAGAACTACAACCAGAAAAAAACCTTAGTGCTCTTGGGCCTCAGAATACATTGATAGACAGATAGCTGCAAGGAAGGAGTGTGAAATAGAGTTTTGGGGGCAGGATGGTTGAGCTTCAAAATTGCTCACTGTGGCTGTTGGAGACCTCTACTCTAGGCACAAATGAAATCCCTATTTCCTGACATGAGAACAAAGTTCAGTGCATGAGTGGGTAAAGAGTCTATTGCCTGACTATATTAGTGGTACCTTCAAAAAAAGCATATGCTGAACTCACCTGGAGTAGAGGAGGCCTGGGAGCAGAAGGCAAAGATGAGAAGAATCATGACAACAGGCGCGCAGGCTTTCATGTTGCTATCAGATGCAGATGATCACAACTGGACCAGGGAGTATTGCAAACTTGGACTGACACTGAACAACTAGCTTTTCCTTGCCTTTTTATATGATTACTAGAAGAAAAAAAAAGGGAGATGAGAGGAAATTCCAGAGCTGATGTCATAGCATATGGTGCTGTGTGGAATAAAAGTGAAGCTGCAGCCAAGGCTCAGGGGATAATGAAAACATCTCACTTGAAGGTCTGAGTGTACCAAACTGTTACTCAGCAAGTTTATTTAATTCTTGGTCTGACCCTATTGGAATAAAGGAAAGCAGAAATGTGCCATTAGGTCACACCACAGCAAAGAGGGAATTTTTTCCCCTGCAGTTCAAATAGCCAAGACCTCGCATGCTGTGTCTGGTGTTGTGCAAGTCTGGAAAAACAGAAAGTTCCTGAGCCAATGCTGTGTTAATCTCCTCTAAAGTAAAATGAATAATAGATTAGGAGTAAGTGGTAGGGAAGGCTGGAGGGCCTGTTACCCAAGCTCTCCCCACCTCGTATGCCCCATATACTCAGTTGATCCTGCCATGCCCGGCTATACCAAATTTAGGGTCTTGTTCCAAAGTTGCCTGAACATGCCTGAGGAAGGGCTCTTATTCTTCATAAACTCAGTGGCTTCATTTTGAGTTCAGTAAATTTACAACCACAGTGAAGGCAACAGATTTTACTCCCTGGGCACTAGATCCTAATGATAAAGAAAACCTTATCTTTACCCAAGTGTGAGTGTGTCTGACATGTCTCCTCTCTGCCAATCCACAGAGGGGATGAGGCATTACAGCCGCCAGCTGCAATTCAAGCTGCAACAGTTTGTACTATTTCCTCTGAAGCCCTGGTTCCATTCCTAATGTGTCAGCTAAGAGGGCAGCTCTCACAGAGATGGAAGCAAGTAAAATGGAAAGTACACTTAACACCTATGAAGGGAGGCACAGACTTGCTGGTGAAGCCAGGGGAAATTACACGAGCACTGAAAGGCGGCTTCAGTTAAATAGATTATAATGGGTGGAAGGGGGCATGAGTAGGCCAGGCTGACTCAGCTATTACTGAGTTAGGTGGCCCAGACTGGATATAGCGATTAACACACTAGGACAGCAAAATTAAAGTGAAACAAACAAAACGGTTTATTATAAGACAATAACTCTATACAATAATTGCATACAACACGCTAACACAAGGAACATAAGGGGAACTAAATACATACAAGGTTATAAATTACTGATCCTAAGATGTGAGAGTGAAGCTGAGGAAGCCCATGAACAGCTTTGGAACCATCAACAGCAGTCCAGAAGCATCAGGAGGACTGGAGACCAACAAACTCTTTCAATAGTAGCAAGCAAGCAGCAACTACACAACCCAGCAGCCAACCAACCAACCACCTGAGAAAAACAGAGAAAACAACCCAAAGTTCCTCCCCAACTATTATATGCTCAGAGTGCACGCCCCTCTTCCCTGGCTGGGCAGCTTGTCCCAGCCCCAGCCCCAATCCCTCCCTTTCCCATGCCCTTTTCCTCCCCCTCCCCCAACCCCAACAGGCTTACCAGCCGGAGGCAACTGTCAGCTGCCTGTTTGATCTATGGCTGAATCTCTGAATCGGCCGAATCTTTTCCATATCTATTTGGATGCTTTGAATCAATTCAGAGCTTTCACTTGGCCTCTGAATTCAATTCAGATTTGGAGATTTGGTCCCTGAATTGAGCCAGATCTCCTCTGAATTGAATTAGCTACTGAAGCTTCGCACAGCCCTAGCACACAGCCCTCTCAGCTCTTCACACTGCACTGAATTGTGTGCATGGTATACAAATTCCCACCAAAAATAATAGTACCTGTCAATCGATATATTGTGCACACATTACTACATTTTTCACACGAGATGCTATGATTTTTCATGTCTCTTTATGTGGGATTGAGAGGTAAAAAGGTCACTCCTAGAATAATCCAACCATACAGCACAATGTGCAAGTATGAAATAAACTTCTTTATGCCCCAATCCAATTCTAACTACAGGCATAAGAATAATTATTTAAATAATAGGAACAATCTTCAGGGCTAACACTAGATCTTTGGTGCCCTTTTCATTTCACTTTTATGTAGCCCACGAGGAGGCTGGTGACTACAGATGGTCAGGAATGACTTTTGTTTTTTGATCAGAAAGTGCTGATTTGTTATACACAGACCTCTTTATGGGAATGTTGCAATATACCTCTCACTGGGAAAGGTTTCTCAAATCCAGAATGAAACCTCCAGTCAGAAAGGGAGGAGTACTTCATGTCATCAGTAGCTACAGCACTCTTGACTGTGGAAGACTGTTGCAAGGCTCTGCTGTGTCTCGTTCAGACCAAAGACATGAACTGTGAGTGAGCACCCTGGGTGAGCACCCTAACCTCCAGGATCTTAGTTATTCAGGGTGAAAGCATGCTTTCTTCATGCAGATCTTCAAAATGTCTTGTTTGAAGCCTGATGTGAGACAGAGGGAAGAGGTCAGAGGGCAGGAAAGCCACTTCTTGCACACCTTTACCAGCAGTTAGAGCTGGATGGGACTTGTCCAAACAATGATTTGTAGACAGACACCAGTTCACCTCAGGGGAGATGTTGCATTCAAACCATTCTGGGTTATATGGGCTTTGGTGGAATCCAGGGCATGGATTCTAACTGGAACTCTTCTGCCTGAATGACTGCCCCAGAGCCAGGGATCCTACAAACTGTAGGCCCACAACTCAAGTAACAATCTACCTGGCATGTCTGATCCAGAGCCAGATGCCCTGAAAACTCATGTCTTGCCCTAGGCAGTCTGCAGTAAAAGCTCCAAGCCTAGAAGGCCTACGACCGGCTCACAGGGTATATGGTTTAAAGGTATCTGCATGGCCTGATGTCAGGGAGCCCTGTGTGCCCATTGCTGCTCAGGGAAATGGAGCTTCATTTCAGTTTCATCAGGGCTATCAGTAGCAAAGCTGACAATGACAATTCCATGGAGCAGCTGCAGTCTGGGAACCCAATTTCACAGAAACAATCCTGTTTTAACCTCTCCAATATGAATTATCAACACTTGCAGTTCATGGGTAATTTCCAAATTTGTTGTTTTTGGTACAGATTGGAGCAAAACTGTATTTCAAAAAATTGAACCCAGCTTTTTTCCACCTCTCTTTATGACACGTAGTCTTGGCTGCTGCAACAGAGAATGTAGGAGCTATCATAAGGGGTCACAGCTGAGGGCCATCTCATTCAGTCCCATGTTTTCAACAGCTTCAGAAGCAGCAAGACTACCACAGTCACAGATAATGAGCTAATCTGCTCTTATCTGCCCTCAGCTCCACATTAGTTTATGCCATAAAGTTGGAATCCTAGCAAATTCTGTTTTGATTTTTCATATATTTGATTTTTATAATTCTGGACACAATTTTGTCTGGCTAGCTGCAAGGGACACGATAATAATGTTCACACCACGCTGTCAAGCTCTTGAGAAAATAGGTCAATTTAAATCTGGATAAATGAATCAATATAGCCACTAAAATCAAGGACCTTGATCACAGGATCTCTGCTGAAAAAGTGATCCCACTCAAGAATTAGGTAGAAGTGAAGGTATCAATGATAGCAAGATTTTTATCCAGGCTCATACCACATCTTTCAAAAGTCCTAACTTGACTAACGGTCCTCCTGAAAAGGGTCTGCAGTGCACTGGTCAGCAAGTGACCACATATCAGCAAGGCTTCAGGGCTGTGCTGCTTTTAGAAGCAAAGCCACAAATATCTTAAATATCATGCAACCTTTGAAATAAATTATGCACTGATAAAAAGCATGCATTCTGTCCACTGTTATTGGCTAACTCATAGGCCAATATGACCAAGAATGGAAGGAGGAAGCTGACCTCCTTGAAAGCAATGAAAAAAACCTATTGTGCAGCATCACCAAAAGAAAGACACTGTTGTTGAAGGACAACAGTGTAGCTAAAACAGGCTAGGTGCCTCTTTTCTTCAGCCGGAAAGCAGGCTTTGGTCTCAGCCTGGAGCCTACAGAGAAACCAAGACATGAAAGTTGATTCCAAAGTAAGCTATCAATGTTATCTGTGATATCAAACCACCTGAATAATGCAGTTCAGCCTTAAACAAACAGGTTCTGGAATATTTAGTAGAGAACAAAACAGTGCAAACCTTTATTACCAATGAATTTGATTCATTTTGGAGGGGATGAGGTAAGCTCTTTAGAAAGATATATGTAACATATTGTAGATGGTTTTATCTGCCTACTGCAGATGGTTTTGTCTGCTTGCATTATCAGCATAAAATAGTTAGTGCTTGGAATATGATTATTGGCAACTATGGTGTAATTTCTATATACAAATACAAGTAACTCCCCTGCTGTGGAGTTATTTCATGCACAGTAGTGCAGATGTAGAAACTGACCAACTGGCATGGGCACAAGTGTGCTTCAGTGCTGGGGCTGCCTCCTGGCTAGCCTCATGCTGAAGCACCCCCATGTCCCTGCCAGCCACTCTGCAGCACATTGTGCCCGATCGGAGCAGCCCTGTGCTGGAAGCCTCAGGGCTCCATGCCAGCTGGAGTTGCTCTGACCAGGCTCCATGTGCTGCACATGAATAAACTCCAGACCAAATTGCTCCATAGTTATTTGCTCCTGGGCACATGTTTAAACGGCATGCCCGGGAGCAAAAAACTCAGGAGCAATAAGCTCTGGAGTTTATTCGTGTGCACTGATTGCATGTGTAGATGTGCCCAGTGATTCTCAACCAGGATGATGCCTTAAGACCCTTTCATGGGTGCTGTAGGGTGTTAGCACTGTTAGCAATGCAGACACAATTCATAAGATAATACTAGAGGTTTCAAATAGGAATACATAATGTTAAATACATTCTAATCCGTTGTGGTCTAAGTTCTTTGCAATGGAAAAATTGCTATATTGTTTTTTTCCATAGTCTAAAAACAAGTGAAAACTAAGAACTGGCATTTTCTAAGGGGTTCCTTGAGTCTAAAAAAGGGGTGCCTCAATCTAAAAAGGGTAAGAACCACTGTTGTAGAAGGTCAGGTTGCTATTCTAACACATATGTTGTCTGGCTTGTAT